CCACCCCCCGCGGGCCTGACAACGCGCGCCGAGGCTGGGGGGAGGGGGGAACTCCTCGCCGCCTCCACCGCTCTGCGGGCCGGCCTGACGTCACGCGCAGAAGCGGGGTGGGGGTGGCGTTCCTCGCTGCAATAGCGATTCTGCCAGGCTCAGCCCAGCATTTTCTCTGACAAGTGAGCCGGGGGGTTCCGTGTGCCCTAATTAACTTTGACTTGAACATTCTGGCTTAAAAAATTTTTTTCTTTTAATTGCAAGCATCTTTTTTTTATGACTCCAGTAAGAGTTTACTTAAGCCTTAAGTAAACAAAAGTGGAAAGCGACCCACACTTTGAACTTGTCTCCCTCCTGCCTAAATGAAGTCGCGGCTGCTTACATGTTGTATGTAGTTGGATTTGGGGGAGAGTCTGGAGTTCTCTATCCATAGTCATTGAGGCCCAAGTTGAATTTGGATTGGAATGGATTTAAAATACTCCTGCTTATCTTTTTTTTTTTTACTGTCTTTATCTTTATATTTTTTTATTAATCATTTTATTGGAGGAGCTCTTTTAGTTAAAATAACCAAATGAAATTTGTCACACATAAGATTCCTCTTCTCTCCTGTTTTAACCATTTAGACTTTAAAGCACTGCTAGCAATCTCAGTCGACTTGCTAGGCTTTGACCCTGTATAACTAACTAAATACCTAGAGTTACTTGTTGTATGCAAATATCGGCGCCCAGCTCTCAGAATCTAGAGAGCTGACTAATTGTGAGAACTTCTTACCATACCTTGAAAGACTGAAAAATTTCTTAATAAATTTGCCCAGCTGTTCTTGAAGTAACTTACCAAGCAGACATTTTTTTCTCCAAGTTTACCAGTAAGGTTACAGGCTCTTTACACGGTATGATTTTACCCTCATGCAATATTCTGTCTTGATTAACTTCATTCATTTCCTTCCATGCTAGATTTAGAGGAAGTTAATGGGCGGGTCTTAGGCCCTCCTGAATGCCCTAAAGAAATGACCCCATATCCAAAGTTTAAAACCCTTTTTTCCCTTCAATTTCTAATTCCATGTGGGGTCGCTGTTGTTTCCCCACAACAGCATCCCAAAGACCCCTTGATTTAAAGGGTGATCAGAGTTCTCCTGCACTCTTTCCCGAGAGGTATACGTTTTTACTGTAGAAATGCAAGGAAGCAAAAATTGGCTTAAGTCATCTTCCTTTTTCATAAACCATGGTATATCACATTTCATCACTGCCTTAACTTCTTCATAACCCTGACTCATAATTCCAGCAACAGCCTGAACACCTTAAGAGTTTCAGTTGGACTTTCCTAATATAGGCCCCATAGTTCTTTTAGGTAGCAGACCCCAATGACCACTCCTAATAATTTCTGATTTAATCACAGCTTATGGCTTTTCCTCACAACTCAGATCAACTCCAGCATCAATTTTAATTCCTTGAATACTTAGGTTAAATCTTCCTGATAAAAACTGTATTACTCTTTCGATAAGAGGCTCCTGCTTTTTAAAATAGGCAAACTGCTGTGGTGGGTTCTGAGCCTTTATTTGGTTAGTCAAGCTTATTGCAGCGAGAACAAAGGCTGGGGTTTTGTGAGTTGCTTTAGATCTGGTCTCCTGCTGTGAGGCTGGGTGATACCTGTGGTTTCTCTCTAAGATCTTCTTTGCTCCAGCAGGCAGACACCTTGCCTCCCACTCTGTTGGGTGGGGTCTGTGTCAAGCTCCTTTCTCTATTTGCTCCCCCCATCACCACCAAGCCTTTGCTAAGTGTTGAATCTTGAGCAACATTGACTTGCCCAATGAATTCCCTTCCTGCAGCGTGGGCAAACTTCAGGTTCTTTTAAACCCAAGCTAGGTGGCCCTGGCCCACTCTCTGGTGCAGGCCGCAGCTCTCTCTCTGTGATCAGGCTGATTGTCCTGCACTGCCTACACTCTCTTTGAAGATGACCTGTCTTCCCCAACTAAAGCACTTTCTTCTTGGTCTGATGTAATTTGCCAAGGCAGCTGCCATGAGGTTGGCCTTGTATTCCTCTGTCTCTACATTCCTGCATATTCTGAGATAATCTAATAGCTAGCGTGCCCTGTTCCCTGTCAGGATGCAAGGCATTTTTACAGTGTTTATTAGAGAAATCCTAAGATAGCTTATACAGTAGGTCTCTTACTGCCTGGACATTTTTTACACATTTGGAAATAGAGTCTTCCAGTCGGGACACAAAGTCAGCATAGGATTCATCATTCCGCTGTCTTATAGCCATGTAACTCGGCTTTCTCTCTTCTGATGGAATTATCTTTTCCCAGGCCCTTAGGCAAACCTTGCATAACTGTCCTATTGTCTATTCAGTAAACTGTAGGTGAGACTCAACTGTGATATAATTCTCATCCCCTAGCAATGGATGAATTCCTATATCTATCCCATCCTCAGCATTCTTCCGAGCTTGTGAATGGGCTGTAAAATTCCACCACATACGATATTGTAAAAATTCGGAAGCGTAAAGACAGATTTTTACCAAGTCCCTACAGTCTACAGGGGTCCAGCTCTGGACTCTGCTAAAGCCCTTATCCTGCTAATGACAAAATGTGAGTCTGGGCCATGATCATTGACTGCCTGGAGAGCTTGGAGCAACTTAAAGGGAAAGGCACTGTGAATTCCTTGTGGGTGTTTCCCGCGAGGCTATCTGCTAACAACTCTGACAGGATAAAACATTCTAAATTATAAATCTCCTTCTGCAATCCCTTTTCTACCCTTGAAAGTAAAGGTGCTTTCCAATACTTGGCCTCTTTGCCTTTATTTTCTGAGCTGGTCTTCTCCACCTGTATATCTTGAAGTTCCACTTCCCAAACTTCATCTTCTGTGTTAGCTCTCCTAGTTTGCATTTCTTTGGGGCTAATCTCTTTACCTCCTGCGCTGGCTTGCTTGCTTGTTTTACAATCTCTGGTCTCTCTTACACTAAATTCCAGCAGGAGAGCAGATGCTTTTACTATGATGTCCCCTCCTGACTCAGGCTTAGTTTTTTCAGCTCTGTCTACAATCTTCTCATCTGCCCGATACCCATTCTGCTTGCCTCTCACCTGATTTGTTTGCATAGCTTAGATGCTTCTCACTACTTTGCTGGTCTTGTTTCTTTGCTTTCCCTACCTTTGAAAGCAAGGGAGCTTCCTGAGATTGTTTAATAGCCTTGCTTTGGATCTTGGAATTCACTTCCTCTAGTGCTGTATCACCTTTAAACCTTCGGAGGCTGCAGTCCCCGGAGGGCTTATAGGTTTTGGCCATGAGGTTTCCTGTAGCATCAGAGACCTTGCATAACAAATCATTCCCTGCTTCTTCAGTTTTTCCTAAAGTTTCATTGCCTGATTCATATTAATTTAAAGAGACCTTAGCTTGCTTTTCTAGATTTGGATAGACACAAGACTTCTCACTAAACTGATAACCCTTATTCTCTTCCTCCTGCAAAGGTACTAAGACCATCTTAACTTGAACCCACAGAGACCATGTCTCCACGGGGATATCCCCCTATCTCTGTGTGCTTTCTTTAAGTTTACAATGATCTTCTCCCAGGTCTCTAGATCAAAAGTTCCTTCCTCTGGGAACCATGGATTGTACCTTTTTACTACTTTTAGAAAACACTGCATCTTTTTCTTCATTACTTTTACACCCTGTCTTTTCAGTAAGTGGATGAGCATAGTACCATAAGTTTCAGGTTTACTTTTACCTTGCCCCGTTGTTCTCGTTAAAATACTCATTCACTATTTCCATTACTTATCTGCCAATCCCCACACTGGATCCTCACTTCACACTATTTTACGATTCTCTACATTCTGGTGGGACTGTACAATTGTTACACAATGGGCGCCATTTGTGAGGGAAGGAGCCAGCTTCCCACCACTAATCATGGGTTCTGTCCACACTCGTGTGTGCCTATGAGTGAGCATCAGCTCCAGCCAGTGAGTTTGTTTTGGCTGAGAGATGAAGCCTGGGGGCATGGAGAGGGAACCTGTGTCTTTGGAGACTGAGTAAGAGGAATTCGGTAAAAGACAGAGTCAGGGTGGACTGCAGGGATTGGGGTAGGTGCAGAAGGACCCAATGGAGCTGAGTGCCTCAGGAGCCCCTGGGGGTGCAATGGTTAAGCCCTCCACTACTGGCCAGAAGGTTGGCTGCTGAAACTCACCGAAAGTCACCTTAGAGGACAAGCATGCGAGCAGCTTCAGGAAGTTCGCAGGTTTGAAAAGTTCTAGGGAGCAGCTCGACTCTGCATATGGGAGTTTGCAGTAAGCCCATTGACAACACAGGTGCCAAAGATAAGGTGGCCAGATTTCAACACTGGTAAAGCGGGACAAAAGCAGGACACCGTTGATAAAACTCATATCCTGGCGAAATAGCCACGTGGCAGCCGAAAACCGTATGCCCTAGCTTGTCGTGCATTCTTTCCAAAAATCGGGACTTTCAAAAAATGCCACGAGTCGCAGGAAAAATTGTTAAAAATCGGGACTGTCCCGCCAAGAGCGGGACGTCTGGTCACCTTAGCCAAAGAGAACAATTGCACTCACCTCAGGCTCATCATCCAACAAAGGACAGATACAATAGGGAGTGGGGCAGGGAAGGGGTGAGTGTGTGTGTGTGTGTGTGTGTGTGTGTGTGTTGTGTTGAAATTGTGTGGGGAGGTGGAGAACAATGTGTGTTTAGAAAGCATGGAGATAAGTCTAGAATGGGTTAGGGAAGGCTCTAGCGTATAGGAAATAAGACCAGCCAACATCGAGATGGGTCCATGGGTCCTTTTCCTACTTGATCCCCTCAGTGCACACCCAGCACAGGTGCTAATGCCTCTGTTCCCAGCTGGGGCCTCAGTCTCCCCATTTGAGGGATAGGGAAGACTTCTCCTTGTTCTCTTTGCTCTCCCCCACATTTTTAACCCCCTCTCCAACCTCCTCCAGATCCTTCTATTCTGTTCACCCCTGGATTTTCTCAAAGAGCCCTCGTGGTCCAGTGGGTTATGCATTGGGCTGCAAGATCAGTACCTCAACCCCACCAGAAGTTGTCCTTTCCCATAACACTTTACACCCTCTAAAGCCCGACACAGGGTCTCTATGGGTCAGAATAGACTCAGTGGCAGTAGTTTGGTTTTGTGTTTGTTTTTCAGATTTTTCACAGGCCTTCCTGTGTCTGCGTCTGGAGTCCTCACGTGGGAAGGAAATCAGGAGCCCCAAGGTACACTGGGATGGGCTTCCTGACCCGTTAGACACTCAAAGTCAGGACTCAGGAGCAGAGGGCTCGGTTGGTTGGGGTTTGTGCTAGAAAAGGGCCCCGATGGGGTGATGATTAGATGCTGCATTTCTAACTGCAAGGTCAGCAGTTTTAGCCCATCAATGGTTCTGTGGGGGAAAGTTGAGGCTCTCTGGTCCTATAGAGATTTATAGTCTCCTATGAGCTGCTTGACTCCAGGCTCAGTGCTCCTAGGAGGAGCAGTCAAGAGATCAATCAACACTGCATGAAGTCAATCTGCTGTGCAGCCTCTTGGAAGTGCAGAAAAGCAAGGATATTACTTTGAGGGCTAAGGCGCGCCTGACACAAACCAGGTCCTTTCAGTCGCCTCAAATGCCTGTGAAAGTTGAACATTGACTCCAGAAGACAGAAGAAATGCCCATGTCTTTGAACTATGTTGCTGGCAAAAAAATATTGGACGTACCAGGGACTGCCAAAAGAACAAACAGATGATCTTGGAAGAAGTACAGCCAGAATGCTCTTTACAGGCGAGGACGGTAAGCCTCGGCTCCAGTATTTGGACATGGTATCCAGTCCCTGGAGAAGGACATCATGGTTGTTAAAGCGGAGCCACAAAAGAAGACCGTCCATGAGATGGCCTGGGACAGTGGCTGCAATAACGGGCTTCAGCAGAGCGTGGGTGAGGACGGTGCAGGGCCGGCAGGGTTTCATTCAGCTGTGTAGTAGGGTTGCTATGAATCAGAACTGACTCAAAGGCACTGAACAACAACATAAGTTGGAATCCACTCCGTGGCGATGGCCTTTCTGTGTTTGTCATTGTTTTTCTTTAAGGGGGGGCATTTAGTATATGAAAAGGAGGTTTTTGTTTTGTGTTTTTTCTTGCAGTTACATCCAGTCTTTTCGATCCATGGTTTCTTTCTCTGCTGAAATACCACTGGCACAGGACATGAGAACTCTCGTCTTTCTGCTGCTGCTGCTGCTGCTGGCAAAAACCATGAAGGGACTGAGTGGTGAGTGTCCTGGGACAATATCACTCAAAAAAGTGGGGCATCGGGGTAAGATAGTGATAGGGCTTCACTCAGTCCCCACAGCCTCTCCTTATCATCTGCTCCCCACTCTGTCTGGTGCCCCTTAGCCTCATGGTCCCTGCTTGCTCCATCATGGCTGGATAGGTCCAGGACTGGCTCAGGTGTGTGCTGGTAGATGAGAAGCATCATTAGGAAGACTACAGCCAGGCTAGGGAGGGCGAGTAGATGTGTCTGTTTCCAACACCATGGCCTGTTCCTGTGCTCCTAGTTTAACAGTAGAGAATAAAGATATGACTCTTACACAGCCCAGCTCCAGAACCCCATTCTTCATCTCTTCACTTGGCAGCTCTTCTGTAATAGACAGGGTTCTCTAGAGAGACAAAACCAGATTGCTAATAAACACATGTGGGATTAATTGAAGGGCAGAGAGATCAATGGCCTGGCGAGCCTCGCCTTTCTTGTCTCTCACTCTTTGATCATCGGACCAGTGTGCGGCTGCCTTGCTTGTTCTGTGCCTCAGTTTGCAAGCTACACTACCTGTGGGACACCTAACCTGTGAACTGTGTCGCTGTAATTTGAGGTCCCTTTAAGACCTGCCTCGCCACACAATTGGAATTTACATCTCTTAAGCTGGAGACTGACTGTTGGTGACCTGGATGACTGTTGGTGGACTGCCTTGCTGTTTGCTGCCTGTGCTAGGATAGCCTGAATCTCTCTACAGAGGACGACCTGGCAGCCCTCAAGACTTGAAGGCCGCCAGTGTCTCACAACTGTCTAACACATTTGAATTGTACTGAGCCATTTGTACTGCTTTATAATTTAACTGTTTATTTCTTGTGTTATCTATCTGTATAACTGCTTTATAATGTAATTGTTTATTTCTTGTGTTATATATCTATCTATATAAATGTACATGTATATAATTATTAGCAATTTGTCTAGACTGCACTCCTCCTTTTCTTCCCAAACTTCCAGAGCTATAGCTTTGCTTGGGAATTAGGCCCCACTTCATTCATGTACCCCAGACGGCCCTTTCTCCCTCTGTGTGAGTCCAGGTTGGCTAGAAAAACAAATCCAGGGAGACTCATATGTATATAGGAAAGGGCTTAATATAAAAGAGTAATTATATATATATATAATTTTATATTATATATTTTATAATTTTTATATATATATAATTTTAAGAGTAATTGTATATTTTTTAAAAATCCAAGCCCAGTTCAGATCAACTCCATAAGTCCGGTATTAGCCCATATGTCCAATACCACTCTGTAAATTCCCCTTCAGACTCAGGAACACATGCAAGTGCAGGAAAATCACAGGCCAGTGGGTGGGAAGTCTTGTGGATCCAGTGGCGGTGGATGCACCTTTAGCCCTGGTGTGGGTCTCCATTTGGCTCCTCCAGCTCCAAGGCTCTGGCTGCCAACACCATAGCTCCATGTGGCTTGTCAACAGGAATGTTTCACAGGGAGAGACACAGAGAGAGAGTGTGTGTCCCACCTCCAGGAAGGAAGACAGGAGTTCCCAGAATCCTCAGGAGAAGGCCATGCCCACATAGAGGCCTCATTGGTTATGATCTGATTGACAGGCTAGACTCCACCTCTTTGCAAGTTAACAGGAGGTTACATAACTGCCACACTCTCTTTACCTGGAATCAAATTACAGCCCAGGGTCAGGAACACACACACACACACACACACACACACACACACACACACGCCAAGGCACAGTCTGAAGCATGGTATCTCTCCCTGTGCTGCCAAGTTCCACCTCCTGTGCCAGGAAGCCTTCCCTGCATACCTATTCCCATGATGAATCTGACAGGTGCCTTATGGTACTGTCTCTTTCCCCCTCCTGTTGAAAATTCCATCTGTGCTGCTTGCATGGAAGGCCCTGGAGAACAACACTGATAGATATTTTTTGGTGTCTCTGAACTTGGCAAGCATCCCTAGAAGTGTTTGTGAGGTGAGTTCCCTTGCTAATACTATGCGCATCTGAGAAGAACCAAATTTATGGAGCCTCCAAAAGCTAAAGGGGAGGATGGGTGGAAGGCTTCAGAGGGTCTGGAATAGAGACTCTTCCCCCTGCCAGCCCAGCCCTTTAGAGGAATTCTCTTAGGATCACCGATCATTGGGTTTAAGGGAACATCTTTCCACTTCAACCTTCACCTGACTGTTTCCCTCACAGATGAGCATTCCCTTTGCTACAACATCACGGTGATGACTTGGACCAGCCCTGAACAGCCCTGGTATGAAGTCCAAGGGCTGGTAGATGGAAAGCTCTTTTTTCGCTATGACAGTGGCAGCAACCAAGCTAGAGCCTTGGGAGCCATGAAGGAGAGGGTAAAGACCACTGAAGCCTGGGAAGATCAGATCAACACGCTGAGACGCTTGGGACAAGAGCTCAGGATATGCCTATCTGACATTACACAGAACTACACAGCCACAGGTAAGTGTGGAGGAGTCCATGGCCTGGAGACAGTGGGCAGAGGGAAAAGTGCAAGCCATTCATGGGTGAGGCGGCGTGCCACTTTATTTGTGCCAAGGAACTGAACATAGATCCAACCTCAAGAGGTCATAGAACCTAGATTGTCGAAGAAAGGGCAAGATCCAGAAGCCAGAGATTGGCTCCCTCCATGCGTGGAGGAAAGCAGGTCCCGTGGGAAGGGGAGAGTCTGGAGCAGTGGTTCTCCACCTTCCTAATGCCGCTACCCTTCCATACAGTTCCTTATGTTGTGGGGACCTCCCCCCGATAAAATTATTTCCATTGCCCCTTCATAACTGCAATTTTGCTACTGTTGTGAATTGGGCGACCCCTGTGAAAGGGTCGTTTGACCCCCAAAGGGGTTGCGACCCACAGGTTGAGAACTGCTGGTCTCGAGAGAGTTTCAGGTGACTTCTTTGTGGATTGGGAGCAGGTCCTCCCACCTTGCAGGTCAAGCTGCTTTGCCAGCAAAAAGCAAGCCAGTGTACCAGTGCATCCTGGCAGTTCTGCATGAATGGGCAGCTACTCCTCCAGATAGACGCAATAAACAACAACTGGACAGCAGGTCATCATCCTGGAGCCACGGGCATCAGGGAGAAGTGGAAGAAAAACCAAGACTTAGCAAACGATTTGCGGAAGAACGCACAGGGAGACTGCAATTACTGGCTTCGGGAATTCTTAATGTACTGGCCGGACATGCTAGAAATGACAGGTAACTGAGTGTGTATGCATGAGAACGAGTGATAGGTTGACTCACTGATGTCCTGTCTTAAAGAATTTTGCTTCTTGGGAGTCAGTCTCTGCCATAAAGATTTTCCACCCATCATCCCTTTCCCCTCTCATTTCTGATATCTCTTAATTACTACACACTTTCCCCCATCTCCCCACCCCCAATAGCATATGGGCCACCCACACTGTCTTTCAATCATCGTGTATCATTGCTGCCAGGTCTTTGGTTCGTGTTGTTCCCTTTGCCTGGATTTCCTTTCCTATTTGCCCACATTCTAGATGTCATCCCAATTGAATTGAACTACCATCTCCTCCAAAGCCTTCCTCACTCTCCCTGGGTAGAATTAGCCGCCTCTTCTGGTGAGCTATGCAAGTCTGAATGCAGAAAATTACTATGTTTGTTTGGTTGGTTGTTTTTCATTGGTTGCATGTTTTCTGACCTTTATGAGAACATTTAAAGGTTCCTAGATGACCAAAAACGGAGCCCTTACAGCATATTTGATCGCTAACTGAAAGATCAGCAATTCACACCCCCAGCTGCTCTGTGGGAGAAAAATGTGGCAGTCTGCGTCCAGCTCAATCACAGCCTTGGGAACTCTGGGGGTAGGGTCCAGAGCCAGCTCCATTGTAATGGCTAGATTTGGTTTGGCTTGGCTTTGAAGCTGCCCAAAGGCCTTGGACTCCACTGCTACCCTAAAGGTTGTCGTTTCAAGGCCACCCAATAGGATCATAGAAGAAAGAGCGACCTCACTGCTTCCGTGACGATTCCAGTCCAGAAAATCTCCATCCATTGCAATTCTGTTCTGTAAAAACCTACATCTGTAGCAATTCTATCCTGTAACTCACGGGGTCTACCTGACTCGAAATGGGCTCAATGGCTTGACTCAACCAAACATTAGTCTATGGGGGGACTTCAAAAGGTTTGTGGGACAAAATCCATTGTCTTTTCATTTCATTTTTCCATCAAGTTTTTGCAGCCCCCTCATGTTTGTGAGGAGCTCAGTTAGGGATGCGTTCGACTACTGACCTTGAGGTGGTGGTTTAAAGCCACCAGCTGCGCCTCAGAGACAGAGATTGCTCCTGGGAAGATTGACAAAGCCCCAGATGCAAAGGGTCACTGTGCGTTGGAACTGACTTAATGGTAATGAGTTTGTTTTGTTTTTCGTATTTACATGCTTACATGGGGATATTACCAGCAACTTGGGACCGGTCCAGTGGCTGCCATACACCAGAACTTAGACAGGTGAAGATTTCAGTGGTTCTATAGTTACTGTCGGGCCGCAGAAGCTGAGGAAGGCATAGAAGTTTGAGGTTTGGAGCCTGGAGATGAATTTGAACTCTTTTGTTCTATTTCAGCACCCATGGTCTCATCCACACATCTACCCTTCAGCACCCCAGCAGTCACTGGATCCAGTACCCCAGCAGTCACTGGATCCAGCATCTCAAAAGACGTTCGATCTGTCATCAAAGCAGTCAGCATCTTAGCAGTCATCGCAGTGGTCATCCTGTGAAAGAAGAAGAGAGGTACTTTGGGCAAAGCAGTGTGGGATAGGGCTGACTGGCCTCTGAGTTAGAGGAAGGCTTGGACTATGTCTTGGTCAAGGTTCTCTAAAGAAACAACCAGTGAGAACAAAGAGGCTTCATAAGGATCAGGAAACTATTCCACGATCTTTTAATTTCTTTTTGTTTTTGTTTTTTCCACTAACTTTTTGAAACCCCCTAATATATAAGTATAAATAGAGATACATGTACCTTAAGGGATTGGCACATGTAATTCGGGGAGGAGCGTGGAGAGCCTGGCAAGTCTAAAAGTCACAAGTCCAACGATAGGCTAGAGACTTCTTTGGGCTTTCACCCTACGTTTTGTAAGTCAGGTGACTGAAAGAGTATCACACAGTGGCACTGCCAAACTTTTGATCTATAACACGGGCCTACACACATTGTGGTGCCTCAAATGTTAGACTTGTTTCTGGGTGTATCTGACCTGCTGATTCCAAAAACGGCACCAATTTCCTCCTCTCAGCTCTAGTTTTGGGGATACAGAACATATGTTATAGACTGCCCTTCACTTGGCTTGCCCATACAAAAATCAAGATTTTTTTTTAAATAATCATTTTATTAGGGGCTCAATCAACTCTTCATAATCCATACATACATCACTTGTGTCCAGCACATTAGTACATATGTTGCCATCATCATTCTGACAACACCTGCTTTCTACTTGAGCCCTTGGTGTCAGCTCCTCATGTTCCCCCTCCCTCCCCGGTTTCCCCTCCCCCTTGATAATTTATAAATTATTATTATTTTATCAAAAATCAAGATATTTTAAGGTAGTGTTAGCTCGCCTGAAATAGAGAGAGTACACACTGGCTGTATTTAACATAGTTTGTGTTGTATTAAATATTTAGATCTAGTTATATTTCACATCATGTCCTTTGATCCAAACATATATTTGAACAGTGGAAATGACACCTTTACTAGGAACTGAATAGGAGGCAGCTCCAACCTGTTATCTTAAAAAGTGGCCAGAAATTAGAGGTACTGTAGAAAAAAGTACTGTAGAATAATGACACGGTAGGTTCTGTTTCCCTGCTAACCACAGTGTCAGCTATGCAAGTCCACCAGCTGCTCTGCACGGGAAAGATGAGACTCTGCTCCGTAAGAATTGACAGCCTCAGAATCCTACAGAAGTCCCACTCTGTCCTATACGGGCTCTGAGTCATAATGAACTGACTGGCAGTGAATTTGGTACAAGAAACAGTGATTCAAGTGTTCTGAAACCCAAAACGGGTCTGTCATAGCTCAAATTTTAATGAAGGAATTAAAATTAAGATGGTACAGTCTTGTTATAAGATGGCACAACTCCTCCACAGAGCACAGAAACTTTTAAAAGTTAGAATTTTGCTTATAAAGAAGCTTGGGATCAATCTAACCTCTGAAAGATGTACGATAAGTTATTCATTGATTATAAAGATCATGTGTTCTGAAGAAGAAGAAAATTTCAGATCTTCAAAATATGTATGAAAATGCCTATGAAGTCGCACATTTCCGGCACTCTGAATTGCCCCCATATCTTCCACTGTTCGTGGCTTTTCCGTGTTCCTTTCCACTCTTCCCAAGCTGTGTCCTGGCTTGGCACTGTCCAAATTGCAGTCTCTGGCTACAGTGCACAGCCTGTGATACCAAAAAGAAATGCCTGCTGCCACCTAATCAGTTTTAGCTCACAGGGACCCTATCAGACAGAGAAGAACTGCCCCTTTGGATAGCCAAGCCTTTAAATCTTCTCAAGGCTACAGGGTGACTGGTGGGTTTGAACCACTGACCTTAAGATTGGCAGCTCCATGCCTAACCAACTAGCCACCATGGGCTATGTCCATAGACAGTTTCTCTTGGAAGTCCCTTTAAAATGAATTCTTGTTCATATATTTCTTAACTTTTTTTGCCCTATCCTGTAATTTGTGGGTCTGAGTTTTTCTCCTTTTTAAAACTAGGATAATAAATTAGTAAACTGGTATAACTTAATAGCTGAAAATATAATGGAACACCATACCTAAGAAACTAGAACTAATGTGGTCTATCCTATGCAATTTTTTGGAATGATTTTATTGGGGGCTCATACAACTCTTATCACAATCCATACATACATCCATTGTATGTCAAGCACATTTGTACATCTGTTGCCCTCATCATTCTCAAAACATTTGCTTTCTACTTAAGACCTTGGTATCAGATCCTCATCCCCCGCCCCCTTTTTCCCCACTCCACCCACCCTCATGAACCCTTGATAATTTATAAGTTATTACTATTTTGTCATATCTTACACTGTCCGACGTCTCCCTTCACCCACTTCTCTGTTGTCCACCCCCCAGGGAGGAGGTTATATGTAGATCCTTATAATCAGTTCCCCCTTTCTATTCACCTTCCCTCCACCCTCCGGTATCGCCACTCTCACCACTGGTCCTGAAGGGATTATCTGTCCTGGATTCCCTGTGTTTCCACTTCCTATCTGTATAAGTGTACATCTTCTGGTCTAGCCAGATTTGTAAGGTAGAATTGGGATCATGATAGTGGGTACGGGGCAGGGGGGAGGAAGCATTCAAGAACTAGAGAAAAATTGTATGTTTCATCATTGCTTCATGACACCCTGACTGGCTTGTCTCCTCCCCGTGTCCCTTCTGTAAGGGGATGTCCAGTTACCTACAGATGGGCTTTGGGTTCCCAATTTGCACTCCCCCTCAACCACAATGATATGATTTTCTGTTCTTTGATGCCTGATACCTGATCCGTTCTACACCTCATGATCACATGGGCTGGTGTGTTCTTCCATGTGGGCTTTGTTGCTTCTGAGCTAGATAGCCACTTGTTTATCTTCAAGCCTTTAAGACCCCAGACACTATATCTTTTGATAGCTGGGCACCATCAACTTTCTTCACCATATTTGCTTATCTATGCACTTTTTTTAATGAGCACCCCAAAGAACCTGAAAAACATGCCTAAAAACCAACACACCAAGAAACCATGGCTTTTTTGGTTGGGTTGTATAATGTCTAGACCACACCCTAAGGAAACTCTCCTTTCAACTTCGGACTGACCACATTACATTTCATTCTTTTATGGAAGGTGGTCACCTTACGTTACTCTCACTTACATTGTTGTTGTGACTCACAGAGACCCTGTGTACAACAGAAAGGAACTGCCACCTGGCCCTGAGCCATCCCCACAATTGTTCTAATGTTTGCACCTGTGGTGACCGTCACTGTATCAGTCCATCTCTTCAAGGGTCTTCCTCTTTTTCACTGCCTCTCTGCTTTCCCAAGCATGCTAGCCTTTTCCTGAGACTGGTCTCTCCTGATAACATGTCCAAAGTACATGCTTCTAAAGAGGAGTTCAGCTATACTTCTTCCAAGGCAGATTTGATTGTCCTTTTTGACAGTCTGTGGTACTTTCAATATTAGGTTATATTATGAATCATCGGCTAGTCTGGTGTTTGGGTAAACCACTAGGAATCATACCCAGCCAAGTGGACATATCAAATTAACCATCACAGCCTCATGTGAGGATGGGGAGACGTGAGGCTGCTGCGTCTTCCCCTGACTCTCTAAGGAAGCTCCTTGCTGTATGAACAAGTCAAAGAGAATCAAATCTCCCACCTAAGTGTCTGGGAGTGACATGCTTTGCTCCAAGTCAGAGTAAGCCCTCTCTGTCCCTGAACAATGAAAAGGTACATAGCCAGCGCCATGCTTGGGCCTATACACTCTGGGGATGGGCGCTGAGTTAAGCAGGGACCTTTCCAAACCAATGTATCCACTGTAGTTTGGCATAATCAGACCCTATTCAGACTGGGTCACTCTCTAGAAAATGCCACACAGTGGATGGTGTCGGGGCAGAAGGAACACAGGTGGTGGGCAGTACAATCTTGGGTTGGGGCAAAAGTTTAGCCATTTGACCATGAGAAAGATATCCCATCCCCATGGCTGAGAGATCCTTGAGTTTAATCCCTTGGAGAAAATGATCAAGAAGCCTCTTAAGGCTTTAACAAAGCTGACTGGAGTCAGGGAGATACAGACAATAGAAGAAAGAAATTAGAAGGAATTGGTAAATAGCAAAGGAAGGCCAAGGGCCAACTCTAGACATGGGCCTAGGACAGAGAAGATTAGAAACCTATGGACACTTAGGGTTCTGGCTCACTCCTAGGCAGAGATTGTGGTACGAGGGTCATGCCAGACCCACATTCGGGGGTCTAAGTCTGCTTAAAAGGGACCCTTGCCCAACTTGGAAGATTCATGCCTTTGGTGATAGCTAGGTTTTGTGTCAATTTGGCTGATCCAGGATTCTCAGTGCTTGGGAAGTTAAGATCGAATAATCCCCATGATGTGACCTAACATATTGCAATCACTTCCATATTGGGATTTGCTATGAGCAGCCAATCAGTTGTAAGAAGAGTAGGGTAGGATGCAGCACCCTTACTCAGATCACAGCCCTGATGCAATCTTTTGAAAGGAAATTTCCCCAGAGCTGTAGCTTGCTTCCAATATAAGTGAAAGCTCTGGAAAATTTTGCTTTCTTTTAATGGATCCCAATCCTTCATTTGACTCATGGATAGCTGGTTCTTGGGCTTAAGTCAATAGCCTGCCATATCGCCTGCCAATCCTGGAGCCATTAACATCCTGCCATCTGACCTGCTGATTTTGGACTTATTTGCCTTTGCAGCTACCAAGCCTTACTCTTTCTGCCTAGCTTCTGTTGACCTAGCATCTGACTCAGACGTTTGAAACCTGCCCACATTTGAACTTTCCTCCCTCTATAATTGTGTGAGGTTTTTTTTAACCTAAATTTACATAGATACATATATTATATATACATATACATGTGTGTGTGTGTGTGTGTGTGTGTGTGTTCCACTAATGTTGCTTTGATAGAGAACCCAGCCCAAGACATCTCTGGTGTGGGATTCCCTCATAGTATTCTCATCAGTGGGAAGAATCAAGGCCTGAGAAAGGGAGAGGATTTTGGACACAGCGCTC